AACAGTAGGGAAATAGTAGGAAAAATTGAGATGTATTATATAGAGGTTGCTTTGGGAATATATTCCCTTATTCCCTACTAAGAACTAGGATGTTCTGTTGCAGTATAATGGTCCGACCCGAGGACCCAATTCAAGCTGAAGTCGGCTGCCGCGTGTAGTAACTTAGTATCACACTAGCTAGCAGCTAGACTCAGACATTTGCTGCAGCAGCAGCAGAAGATGACCAACATGGCGGAGCGCCTCTTGCTCTGCGCGCTGCAGCTGCGAAAGCAGCGCAGCAAGTCGGTCCGTGTCCGCTGTTTTTGGAGTACCTTCTTCTCTTCTTCTCTCTGCGATCCTTTCTTTCACTCTCAGACAAAACCGATAGAGAGGCCAGACATGTCATCAGCTGCGGCCTGGATCCGGCTTACGCCGTGCTTCTTCAGGAGCAAGAAGAACTGAGTATCCTGCCGCTACAGTCGAAACATCACTGCAGAATCACCTGTGTCTAGTAGAATATGAATCCGTCCTTCTGCGTTCTCGAAGGTAAGGGAGAAACTTCCGATCTCTTGCCTCAACCTTGAGGGGCATTCTAGCCAAGAGGCACTGCCGCTCACAATGCGTGCAGCCCTCAACGAATACTCGCACATGCGGTGGCAGCTGCCTCTCATCAGGCTCTGGAAGCTGCTTTTCGGCTTGTGGCCTCAGGCCAAGGGCAGTGCGCTGAGCAGACTGATAGCCAGGCAGTTCAGCCAAGGAGCCGATACCATGAGTCCTGCGAGATGTTAGGAGCAAAGCTAAGTAAGGTCACCCTATGTCCATCTCAAAGCCTTTGAAGAGGAAGGTCCCTCAGACACTGACTGGTGGTGAAGCCTCTCCCAACCGTTGGCTCAACCTAGCAGAAGCTTCACCTGCCAAGGCTCAATAATTGTTCTGCTTTGCCAGCTAGTTTCCAGCTAGTAAACAACTACTAGCATAGCTTTCAGATTATGAGGTCGAACCAGCAACAGAATACCGCTGATGGAGGCTTCTCAAACTTGCGGCTCCATCTTGTTGGAGCTCTCTGCAATCGGGGAAGCTGATACTCAGAGGAAATCACCTCAAGTTTGATGTTCCCAGAGAATCTCTACAAAGCTCATCTTAACTCCCCTCAAACCTTAAAGCCGTGAACTGCATTGATTTCTACCAAACATGCACAAAACGTCCTGCACCGCCAGGACCGAGTCAGGAACAGGCTCCTCTTGATCAGTGAAGGCACCTTGCGGGTGTGGGGTGTAGGGGCGTATGGGGGTCTGGATTAATAAGGTTTAGAATTTAACCCAAAACCCTAAACTCTAAACCTAAACCCTACGGGTCCATTTTGGGGCTTTGCATCTGGCACAGGACGATTGTGCTAACATTCTCGCCGCAAATAGGTTTCGCTCTTTCACCGCTCTTGCACGACTGACAAAGTTCGAGCTGTGCTTATTGACATGCTCTGAACATCTGTTTGGGTGGCACGCTTAGAAACAAGTGAGGCTCAGAGGCATTCACACAATGGAAGCAAGCGCACTCCAAAGTTAAGGGGTGTTGAAGATTCTTGAACATCAAGTTACAATTCTCAGCCACTGCTTCGAACATTAGGACCATGATATATAATACATAATTACCCCATCCCTATGTAACCCACCGTAGTAGTTTCCATTTTCTTTTCCATTATCCCAATAGAACCACAATATATACCCCATAATCCCTATACAGTCACGGAAGCGACATGGCCTAAACGGCAACAAAGGGCTGGGCGGTCCCAGAGCCGACAACCCCAGGCATCATTTGAGCTTGGAAGTAGGCCTCTGATATTTTAGGGTTACTATATTATCCCCTATAATGGAGAATCAACTGGAAAAGACAATGGAAAATGAAATGGAAACTGGGGGAATATAGATCCAACAACCGTTCTATGAAACAAGGCCGAAGCGCCTATCTGTTTGGCGAACACTGGCGGTCCTGGCGGCAAATCAAAGTAGATAGCAGGTTGGAATTCCAACGACCATTCCGACTGCTTTTGATTTTTTACTATTATTACCCCTTATTCTTACTATTATTCTTACTATTCCCACAATTACTATAGGCTCTCTTCTTGGTGCTTGTATTGCTGCAGGTCAGGAGCTGAAGCAAGCACAAGTGCAGAAACTGACCAAAACGAATCCAGAAGTTTGAGAGGTTTGACATGGTGGCTCTGCATACTGACAGAAATCATAGAAGTAGTAATAGTGGACAATAATACAAGTAATAATAGAAACAAAAGTAAGAATATCTTAATTATATAGTAATAAAACAGTAATAACAATATACTAATAATAATAGTACTAATAGCGACAATAGCAGTCATAACAAAAACAATAATAGCAATAATAGTGATACTAGCAATAATAATCATCATCGTCATCATAATGGTAATACTAGTAATAAATACACGCCTGGAAAACTTGGGGATCTGGCTACAAAACGACAAGCTTCATGAGGAGATGAAGGATGACCCCAAACCTTGGAGTTTGAGAAGCGATCCCTGAGCGTTATCCTGAGAAGGACGTTAAACCCTCAACCGAAAGCCCTACAATCTGGGATTCATGCGGAGGCTAAGGGGTAGCTTGTATGACTGAGCTCGTGGGCCTGTGGGTAGTATGGATTGCTATAGTGGTTGCCTTGGCAGGTACAACCCCACTTAGAGCTGCCCATCACGTGTGGGCCTCGAAGACCCTAAACCCTTGATATTCGCAACCAACAGTTGAACCTTTCTGAAACCTTAAGCTTGATAATCTTGCTATTGTTGTTATAGTGACGTTGCTATTGCAATACCGCTATTACTGTTACAGTACTTCCTGTTACTGGAACTCTTATTACATCCGAACCCTCTAGACCGAACCACCCTATTGGAAGTCCTTTCTTATCCGTAATGTCTGGATCCGCACCTGGGCCATTCGACGCAAATGTGTGAGTTATACTTCGTTAAAGGGCGCTACATAGGGGGATTCTTATACAGGACTACCATGGGGGATATTAAGCGGAATACAAGGAGTCTAGACTATAGCTCATATGGACTTCTCTCGAAGGGAGGAGTCCCGTGTTCGGGTTCCTTGCACCCTCAACCCTAACATGAAGATCAGATTTTGGGCGTAGTGGCCATGTAAAGAGTCTGAACCAATGTATGAAGAACACGAGGTTGGGAACCCAAAGCACTTGTGCTGCATACCCCTCACAGTCAAGCATGACCTACGAATGAACTCCAAACACACTCAAAGTAGTCATATACACTAGTTTCCATTTCATTTTGCATGCGTCTCCATTATTGATGCTGTATATACATACATATATATATATATAGAGACCTGTAAACCTTCTCTCGCGGTGCTAACTACTCCTAACTTGATCCTGGTCAGACAGTGAGAAGTCGTCTGGACTGGTGTAGTCTAACTACTCGGGATCTTAAGGGGCTTCCCACTCCTTTGCTGGATACTCCTGAGGACGATCTACAGGCATCAACGGGGTCCTTCTGAGGGATCAGGGGCCTCCGTAAGTTCACTAAAAGTTCTATCTTCAGCAGTAACCCACCCGGCATACTCCATGAAACCGTTTACAACACCCGAAACGAAATTCCCTCCAAGATAGTAAATGATTAGAGTAGTGAGTAGTCCCCCTTAAATGCGATAACACAACCATGACTGCAAGTATACTCATGAAACTACGAGAAAACGAACAAATCCCAGTAGCAATCATTACTACAAACTGCAAAAGGTGCCCCTGGGTCGCTGACAGCAACTGGTAGGACAGTGACATCCCGACATGCAGACCTAGGCAGGATCTAGGGTTTAGGGCTTAAGGGTTTTTAGGATTTGGGGCCCAATTGGTCAAAGGCTTTTGCGCTATGTGGTTGAGGGGGGCTTGACTGTTGTACGATGTTTGGCTGAGGGGCCTCAAAGTTCTCTGTTTCAAGACGAAAGGGTCTCAGGATTCAGGCAGAAACTTCTCTGAATGCAAAGCAATGGACGCCTGGCACTTTAATGGACCCAAGGCATGTATCATCTCAGCAGAGACTGCCAGAAGAGCAACCCTCCCCAACCCACCCACCCTCGGCCTTGAGTAGATCTCCTCCAGGTCACATCAGCGTCTCTTATAGGTTGGATGAATCAAACATAGGAAGGCAAGTGCTGCTGAATTGTTCTTCTGCTTTGGGCTATGCGTGACCTACGCAAAGCTATTATCGCCACCTTCTTGCGCACCGTAGCGTTGATAAGGCCAGTCCCTTCTGCGCCCCTTCGTGCACGTGCTACTCCTCAAAATGCGAGCCAATGACAGGTTGACAGGTTAGCTCCAATCAAGCCAAATAGACTCCAAAGCCACAGCAAGGTCGGCTGTTAACTCTAGAGTGAAGACGCGCAGTCATCTGTGCAAGCCTCCTGCGCTCCTGCGCGCCCTGAAATTTCAAGCTGCAGAATCCAGACTCGGTTTAGGCTTAAGGGTGCGGGGGACTAATTCCTTTTTTTCGGCAACTGCGCAGTCCTGGCTCCATTCAGAGAAGTGCATACCACTTTGCAGTCGTACATGGACACTTTTCTTTTTGGTCAAACTGGCATTGCGCTTATTCCCATTCTTAGTAGTCTACTATGACCATTGTCACGATTATTGAGACATTTTGGACTGCGTTCCCTGCGCTGCGCAGACTGCAGATATGGCATGCTCCGCTTTGCTGAAGTCTTGCAGATCTGCCGAACGCATCCTCTGCCATGTCCAGGTGCCAGACGCTGCAGCAGCGGTTTTACAGGCTTGCCTCTACTCGCTGCTTTATCATATGCGACATTCTATTTACACCCCGGTTTGATGCAACGACCGCCTGCGAAGCAACAGCTTTACGCAGGAAATGCTACAGTACAATGTTGTGAGCGCTAATTGTGTGCGGATCCTGCGCTTTTGCTTAGATGGATGCTGTCCGTTCCGCCGGACGCGGAGGGTAAAAGCCAGATTCTGAGTTCACGCTGCACAGCTCACGCCGACGGCGCCGGCTTGTCGAGCTTGTCTGCCCGCTTCAGGATGTCCTGTGCCAAGGACAAGCACACTGTGTACATGACCCTCACCCATCCAAACTTTTGGCAGCTTTTAGCGATGTCCATGCCTGAAATTTGCGGATGTGCTCGAGGAACACGTCGGCATGTGGTCGCTGCGGCTTCTGCGCGTTAATGTGAACCTTGCAGCGGAAGACAGGACAACCTGGCAGAGCGGATTTCATATGGGGCCGGAGCCATGTCTCCATCCAGGTAGAACTCCACTTCGCCGCAAGGGTTCAACTCCTTAAGCTGTCATTCAATACTGGCAAGGGGCCTTCCGTAAATCACATAAAGAAACACATTAGTTATTAAAAATATACTTAATAAACAACTAATACTATATAATAAGATAATAATTAACAACAATAATATAATTTATCCTCTCGTTTGGAGTGTACATGCCTGTCAAATCTGGCTAAGGCTGCTGCACCATCCAGCGGCGTACCAACTCTCTGATGCACCAATTGCCGGGTCTTGTGCATGACCTGAGACAGACAGCGGCATGCCAACAACTGCCCATGCTTTAAATTCATTGCCTCGCGGCATGATGCTGGCATCCAAGTAAGATATGAATCCACAAGAATTCGTCGTGTAAATACCACCGCCTAGCCTCCTCCACTTGAAATCCTAGACCAAAGCTCTCGTGAATAGCAATCAGATGAAGCAATCCAGAAAATCTTTGCGTGTACCTCTGTGTTTTGGATCAAGCGCGCCATCTTCGTATACAGCTGGCGCCACATTCAAAGACTGCACTCAGGACTGCTGCGCATGACTGGGATCCTCTGCTGTGCACTTCTATGCAGGCACAGCATTGCTTCTTATGAGTATAGGGGTTTCCATTTTCTTTTCC